GTGCCGCGGCACACTAGTGTGCCGTGACATAGTGTAAGGTGTGCCGTGGGAAAATTACTTTATATATAGTCAATATAGGCACAGAGTTAAAAAATCTTAACATTTTCTAATGGTGGTGTGCCTCGTGATTTTTTTCATGAAAAAAGTGTGCCTTTGCACAAAAAAGGTTGAAAACACTGGTTTAGAAGAACAAACACTTTTCTTAGATAAGAATACCTATTTAAGATAATTTATGTTGATCAGTAAGAGCCAGCTCATTATAGTTGTAAAAGGCATCAGGCTAGAAACCAGAGAACTAAACATTTCTACTTCTGCAGGACACTAACTGAATAACTTTGGGCCATTTGCTCTCCTAGCCGTAAAAATGTGACAATGGCAACTTGCTTCTGAAAATCATATCAAGAAAGCTGTATAAAGTCAGGCAATAGCCATGAGTCAAGATTGACTTGAAGAAATCAGTATATAAAAAGTCATTATGCCATCTATTTTCTAAAAAAACACACCCCAGAATACTCCACAATATTAAAGACATTATTTATAATCTTCCAAATTGACAGTCCAGTAAACCAATGTAATTTCTCTAATGATTATAGACAAAGAATTATTTTTATTTTGCCAAAAAGTATTAATTAGTTCAGCAAAACTACTTATTTATTACATTAAATCTTGATATATTTGTGTATAATGTTTTTTAAACTTTCTTCCTATTAAAAGGCATAAACGATTACATACAACAGTAGCATACTGTACAATAATTAAAATGAAAATACATAGTATGATAGCAAAAATGATTTGGTTAAAATTGACATCATTTTTAAGTAAATTACAAAAATAGTATAAATAGGTGTTCTTTCCACTGCTGCCATCTAGTGGTTCTTTAAGTGCACTTAATTAGGTTTCCTTTTTATGAAATAGAACACTGATAGAAATAGGCAAAAACAAATATAAACAAAGAAGTCTGAACCATGACTTAATTCTTGTGAAATAAGATTGTATTTACAAGACACACGTTTAGCTCCTGCCCAATACCCTAAAATATAAAAGGGAGGGTGGTAATACATAATTAGGATATAAAAATTCTGTTATTATAGCTTATTTCAATATGCAGTACATCAGTTTCTTGAGCTTGTGTACATCAACCTTTCAAGCCTGGATGTAATATTTAATACATATTATTTTACTGAAATCCCATGATGATCTTAGTAAGTTACATAGGAGTCAGTTCTATTGCAGTTGTAGTTTTGAAATGCATTAGCAAGTCTGTTTGCAAGGGTAAAAAAAAGAATGACATTATGCGAAACTTGTGGCTTACTTCCTTGCTTAAAGTAGAAATTTTTCTAGTTAATCATAAGATACAAAAGCATTTAAAAGATAATAATACAAAATATGCCAAAAAGCAAAGGTCATTTTTTTCACAATTCATTTCATAATGGGTCAGAAGGTCCAGGAAAGATACACTTTCTGAATTCTTGAATAGCATATTATGTTTGCACAGTGGAAATTAACATTAGATTGTCACATTTGTGCTCAATAATTTTCTTCTCTGTTTCAACTTCTGCAGACCTATTTAACAATCCTCTGTCGCAAGAGTGCAGATATCGCCTATATGTAATATATCACATTCCTTCAGTAACTTTGCTCGACAGAAAAGGTAGAATTCTCTTTTTTCAAGAGAAATGTTTTGCAAAGATAAGAATTATTTTTTATGGTTAAAGTAATTGTATAAGGTTCAATATGCAGGGATCTTGTAGTTGTATGTTTTGTTGATGGATCTAGTATTGGATGGTTGACGGATTAGTATGAGTTTTATTGGGGTGTCAGTACTGTTTGTTTATATCTTTTTGGTGTATTGTGTTTTAATCTTTTGCTTCCTGCAGTTCTTTTCTAATAGAGGGTTGTTTATATAGATTTGATAAAGAAATAACAATATAATCTGTACCCTGTTGCATCAACCTTTTGAGCGATCTGGTTTAGGAGTCTTTTCTCACAGTGCCCAGCCAACCACAGCAGGATGTCCACTACTCTCCCAGCAGATGGCCTTCGGATTACATGTAGTCCTTGATTTACAATAGTTGGGATCAGAATTTTCATTGCTAAATGATTCAGTTGTAACTACCATATTGCATAGCAACAGCAATCCCCACAGTCCTGGTTGCTGTTGTTAACCAAATCCCATGGTTTCTAGTTGAAGTGTATTCTTGCCAGGTTTCCAGAACCAAAATCACAAGCAGGTAAGTTGCTGCTTTTGGTTGAGGTTGTAGCAAGAAGTACCTGAGAAAGCATGAAGAGGTTGAGACAGGATCTGTGCTAGTGGTACACTGCAGATCAAGGAACAGCAGTGAGGAGGTTCATGAGAGGAGCAAGCCTGGAAAGGTGCAAGGATATGCATGAGAGGTGTGGCATGCAAGAGGAGAGTGGAAAGTGCTGTGCAAGAGAGATCTGAAAATACTGATTGGGTATACTGTGCAAATGGGGAGGGTATATGCAAATGTATGTGAGAAGTGCATCCAGGCTTGGGGAGGGAGAGCATGCAAGGGTTTCATTTCATCGAAGGTGCTAGGAGGTGCATGAGAATTATAGCACAGGTTCTCAAGAGACATGGATCATGGAGGTTGTAAGACTGTTCAACGATCACATGAGTGTCAGGAAGAGTGCACTAGGGAAACTAGTGACCATTCCTGATGGATTCCCATTTTAATTTCTGAGGAGACCAGTAGAGAAGATTACCAATAGCAATCAAATTATTGCAGGATTCTGCAACTGGTCATAACTGAAAATCAATTGCCAAGCAACCAGATTGCAAACAAATACTAAGCATCTTAATGTTTAAGATTTTTGTAACTTTGAACAGTCACTGAACAAATGGTTCTAGGTTGCAAACTACATGTAGTCACTCTGTCATCAAGGCTAATAGCCATTCGTCCCCATGATTTCTATGAATTAGTCCAACCCTTTTTTGCAGCCAGTCAAGCTGACAGCCATCATCACATCACATCACAGCAAATTCTGAAGTTTAATTATGTGTTGTCTAAAAATTATTCTTTTTGTTTGTCCTGATTTTTCCAAGTTTCAATTTCATTGATTTACATCTGACTATAATATTTTGAAAAGGAAAATAGTTACTACTCTTATTCACTTTATTCATACCATCAATTTTAAAACTTCTCAATTTTATGGATCAACCACTCCATTTAATAAAAATGCACTCTGGAAACAAGACTTCATAATGTCTCTGAAAGGGCAATAGGCACTGAAATTTTCAGGGAATATTCTAAAGAAGAATAGAAAGACATAAAGGAATCTCTGGAATATTTTATGGAATGTGATAAGTTTCTTAAAAATAAATAAAAAGCCAAAGAAACTTGAGCATTTAAGGAAAAGTACTAACATATTTTAATGCTCTAACAAAACTTTATATTTCCCAGAAATAACTAGAAAAGAAAGAGAATCAGCGTTGCATATCTACAATCATGAGAAGACTCTTGTCCTTCAGTCCATAGGATTTGGGAAAAGAGTCGATATACCTTTGTTGCCAAAGGCAGCATTAAGACTGTCACCCACAAAAGTGTTGCACTTGCCTCCAGGTATTTCAATAATAATTTACTAAAGTAACATATATTTTGACTCTTGTTGGATAGGTTGAAAGGATTTGCTGGTGACATCACTGTTGCCTGGGGTACACCGAGTTCGGGGTCCTTTAATATCTTCAGCAGGAGCAAAAAAAAAAGGAGCTGACCCAGCCCCATGGCAGCACTTGTGCCTCAAAAATGACTTTCCTGCTTATCAAGCCAGTGTCATAACCATGCTTCTTAATAATATAGATTACCAATCAACCTTCCTTCCCTAACATCCTTAATAATTTTTAACATTATCTAAACTTTTATAATTACCTCTCAACCTCAAAAGATCTTTACCTGAAATTATATTGTACATATGGTGCATATCAATAAAAATCTTTGTAAAAACAGTTGTATTGAATCATTTGATCTATTTTTAGCTTTTCTGGTTCAACTATTGGAGGTTTTGAACTTTGATAAATTAAAAAATTTATTTTACAACTTTTAATTTGTTCATTGTATGCATATTGCATGCATATTGCATGAATATGAAGCAGTTATTACAATTAATTGTTTTGCTTCTGGAAGTTAAGGAAAAAGATTGTTGAATAGAATAATGATTAAGTGATGAAAACTTTGGACTATATAAGTAGTTCTCCAAATGATATAAAAACTAGACCTTTAAATATGTATAATTAATATATTTTGAAAGGCATAGCATATAGAAGTTAATCTGAAGAAGAAAAATCAATCTTTCTAATTCAAGATGTACACATTGTAAATTTCTAAAGATTTACAAATTATAAGGGCCTATCCTTAATCATTCAAAATTAAAATTCAATGCATTTTATTAAATAAATATTTTAGAACTAATTGATAATTTTATGCATTTACTTTTTTAAATGAATGTAATTTTAATTTATTGTTTAATATATATTAATTGACAAAAGGAATATACAACATTCAATGTTTTTAATAATTATTTTAGGTTTCGAGTTTGGAAATCACTTAGTTAAGTAAGTAGCTCAAACAATTTCTCCATATTTTAAGATTATACTGTAAATAAAAAAGTTCTATACAAGTAAAAGGACAAGTAAAGCCATAGCTCTTTAAATTGAATAGATAATTGTGCTTGTATAAATATTAATATGCATTTTATAAACTTCATGAAGTTATGCTGCACTAGAGATTTAAATATCAATATCACTAGATATAAATATCACTAGATTCACCATCTTGAATTTTAAATGATTTGCAAAAGAACATTTCAATGGAAGATATACAGTAATTGGTAGGAATATATTGACTATACTATTTGACTTGTATATCATCGACACTTCCCTCTTTAATTTACATACCATTTGCACGAATGGCAAGAAAAACAAAATGTACAGGTACAGTATAGGTGGTACCTTGTTCAATAGTAGTAATTGTGAGCGGGATCTTGGAATCCTAGCGGACAACCATTTAAATATGAGCCAGCAGTGTGCAGCAGCTGCCAAAAAAGCCAACACACTTCTAGGCTACATAAACAGAGGGATAGAATCAAGATCATGTTAAGTGTTAATACCACTTTATAATGCCTTGGTAAGGCCACACTTGGAATACTGCATCCAGTTTTGGTTGCCATGATGTAGAAAAGATGTGGACACTCTAGAAAGGGTGCAGAGAAGAGCAACAAAGATGATTAGGGGACTGGAGACTAAAACATGAAGAAGTGTTCCAATATCTCAGGGGTTGCCACAAAGAAGAGGGAGTCAAACTATTCTCCAGGGCACCTGAGGGCAGAACAAGAAGCAAAGGGTGGAAACTAATCAAGGAGAGAAACAACTTAGAACTGAGGAAAAATTTCCTGACAGTTAGAACAATCAATCAGTGGAACAGCTTGCCTCCAGAAGTTGTGAATGCCCCAACACTGGAAGTCTTAAAGATGTTGGATAGCTATTTGTCTGAAACGGTATAGGGTCTCCTACCTAGGCAGAGGATTAGACTAGAAAACCTCCAAGGTCCCTTCCAACTCTGCTATTGTATTTATTGCACAATTACTGAGAACCAGTTTGGTCTAGTGGTTAACGCAATAACTGGAAATGGGGAAACCTGAGTTCTCATTCTCCCTAGATGAAGGACAAAAGCAATGGAAAACCACTTCTAAAAATGTTGCCAAGAAAACTTCCTGGACAGTGGTTAGGGTTGGGTCAAAGTCAAAAAGAAACAAAATACATTGTTGGAAATTTTTTTGGGGGAAGAACAGAATTCAGTTTTGGGTTTGGAGTTGAGCAGAATTTGGTTGTGAGTTTGGAGCAGCAGTTTTTGAGATTACAGCAGAAAAACTTAAGGGAAGCCTTATTTTAGAAATGGTAGTATGTTTTTGTGGTTATTTTAAGAATATGTTTAAATTATAGTGCAAATGCCTATTTAATCATTGGTTGTATAAGAATATTGTCATTTACTAACTGTCTTGGGATGGGGGTTACTCTTAAAGAATCCCATTTGCAAATCCAGAAGATGCTGTCTTTTTGCGGGCAATGAAGCGTGGCATGATTGAATTTTCAACTATGGATTGGGGGAAAATGCCTACCTGTGAAGAAAAACGCCTTGGCAGCAGTCCAGAGAAAAGGCCAGAAAAACTGACCATTAGATTCAGATAAGAGCCTGTTTCTTACAGAAAACCTTCTCTCTTAAGAGCTTTTTTGTATTGCATTCCTATTAAATGTTCCAAGTGTCAATTGAATATATTTTAAAAGGGAAAATATTATTTAGTTGTTTTAGCATTGAATGTAGAACACTTTTTAAAATAAGTGATTCAAGAATTCAGAAATAAGTGATTCAATAATGTTACATACCTGATATAGATCAGTCTTGAGGTTTCAAAGTATTTTTGAAAAGAATTAGAATATTTTGAAGTAAGAGAGGTTTAAATATAGATTTTTGCCTCTCAACAATAGGACATAAGGGCTATATTACAATTGCTTGAAATATCTTCAAAGATATGAGATCCCTATTGAAGTCTCAGTCCTTAATTGCCTTCGATGTTAAAAAATACTGTGAACTGGTAGGAGAAATGGGAGGTATGAGATTAGTTATTTCATCCCATAAGCTTCATCATAGTATTTAAAATAAGTGTTAATATCTTTATTTAAAGGACCATTGAAGTGAGTCTAAATATATATTCAAATTTCATTTGCATTCGGAAGTTGTAAATAATAATACAGTCAGCTAAAAAATTATCTGGAATTAATTTTTGAAAAGTCTTGTATGTATGGCTCTCATCATTACTGAACTTTAGGACCAGCTGTTCCAGCTAATATATCCACCAGTGAAACAACTTAGCAACTTCTGGATGGCTCTAAATATCTGCCATAAATTAATCACATCCAGCCTAACCAATATCATATTGTTTTCTTTGTAGCGAACACTAAGTAAATTTTATGCTACATATTAGTTGAAGGCTGAACTATGATTTTCTGTTACAAAGATTTTAGATGCAATCTTTACCAGATACTTTTAATTTGCTAATTTAGAATGACATCTATTGGGCATTCTAATTGGGTAGCATGTAAGCAGTCTGACAAATTCTAACTGACTGAACTGTCTCCTGTTATGATATTAATTTTTGGAGGCAAATACTCAATCTGACAATGTTGTGCATGGAATAAAAAAATGGAAACCAGTCATAATATTGAACTGTCTAAGGGATTGCTCTACTTATTCCCTAAAAATAGCTAGTCCAGAACAATTGAGCTTGTCTTGTTTTTGGATTTGTTATAAAATATTCCTGTTTTGTGTACATTCCTAGTAGAGACTTCCTACGTTCAATATTTTGCATTTCATATAAGAAATGAGGGGAAAGTATTATATGCTAGTTTGGAAACTAACTGTAAATTAATATAATAAAAGTAGATGCAACAATGCTCTGAGTTTTCTAAAAATTTTCCCCATAAGAAACTTTAAAGTTGTCTTACTATTTATTCTTTAAAATGTTTAGATGGGGAGGAAATAATTATTTTATACAGACAAATTTATAACACCCAAAGCCCCCTAAAATATTTTTTAGCAAAACTGAGATTTAATCTATCAGATTTTCAGCTTTATTACCTGGTTTTCATTTCAACATATATTCTTGTGAAATGATATTTTTTTCTGAGTATTGCCCTCTTTCAATTCAATTACATAGTTTGCCCCTTTTAAATCTCAGCAAATTTTAGAATGAAGATATAACAAGGATTTTCATTTTTAGCCTTAAAGATTGTTAAACATATTTTGTTACTAATAGGTAAAGGGTGAAAATTTGACCCAGAGCTATAAAGAAACTGACTTGAACAATCCAAATTTGAAGACAATAGGCAATATGTCTATATGGACCAGATGCCTTAGCAGCTTCAGATATGATCTTTAAAAGAAACTGTGTTTAAAGAAATTAATAATTTTATATGAAATTTTCAAAAATAAAATGAAGTAGAAATTAAATGATAACAAGTATTATATACTTGAAATGTGGAATAAAGAATTTAAATATATAATCTTGAAAATCATTAGCCAGATCCAAGAAATGTAAACACAGATATTGATTTAAGAAAAAAGCTAGTATATCAGAAAATATGTTTCATGTTTATGGAACCATCAATCTTTTTAAAAGACTGGATATCAAATTATTTTGTGTGTGTAATGTCACTATGAAAAATTTGAGTTGTTTAATTCATATGGTTTGTTCATGTCTTACCACAGCTCTTCTGAGGTTTTGACTTACAGTTTACATTAATAATTGGAAGAAAATATAAATTTAAAGATATGGACATAAATATTATATTCCTAATGCAAGGTCATTGACATTTTATGAAAAGCTTTGGTTTTATTAAAGAATAAAATTACAGAAATATAAAGATGTCTAAAAATAATAAGGGGCAGATTCAAGATAGGTTTGTTATTTAGAGGTGTTTTTGTATTCCATAATTGAAAAGCTGGAACAATGTTTCTCTATGCCTCAATTTAGTGATAAACCAATTGGTTTAGTGATAAACCAATCTCACCTTGATATTAAAATATCATGTGAATTAAAAAAAATATTAGTTATAATGTTTTATAATCTATGTTGCTTTTTTAAAAAAGAACAGTGCAGTTAGCCCAGCACAAGCTTATTGTTCAAATGGAGAAAAATAATCTATCTATATATAAGCGAAATATCACTCACGCAGCATCACGAAATCTCCAGAACTGTAAAGCCTACAAACTTGAAATTTGGCATGTATGTTCTTCTTGATTTCTAGGTGCTCGTTAACAAAGGATTTTTCTAAATGACCATCAGATCATTAGTATTTCTTATATTATTATTAACATGCTCTGATGTTAAGGAGTTAGATGTTCTACTCCCTCTCCCCACCTGAAAAGAACTCTATTCCAAGTGCCACTTGGGTGTGGGCATGGCCAGCGCATGACTCATCTGGCCTGTGGGCTGGGAGTTTAGACATTCTACTCCCCATCTGAAAAACACTCTGATGCTACGGAGAAGATCAATGGGGCCAGCTTGAGGGAGAGAAGAGGATAAGATAGGAGAGATCTGTGGGGTAAGCCTGAAGGAGAGGAGGGGATAGGAGAGGCTTCTGTGGGGCAAGCCTGAGGGAGAGGAGAGGCCGATCGTAACTACTCAATAATTTTAAAGCTGTATGTGTCTATTTATCAAGCCTGATCACATAGTTTCGTAGCGGAGCTCAACTATCCTTGATTAATATGCAGATATGGATTTTCAGAAACTGTATACAGGTAGTCTTTGTTTAATCCACTTAACTTGGAGTGGAATTCATATTGCTAAACAATGCAGTCATTAGGTAAAATTTCACATGACTGTACTGTTTTATCAACAGCAGTTTCAGTAGCCCCAGTGGTGGCTGATCAGCAGATTCATATTTATCTTATCTTGCTATGCTTGCCTCCTGTTCAGCAATCCAAACCCATCTATCTACTCCCATTTCTGCCCTTTGATTTCCCTGCATTTTGCCTTGACCTCCGATGTCCCTGCTGACTTTTACTGTCTTTGTCCTACTGCTGCCAAGTTTGCATGGTCCAGCCCTTCCTGACGCCTTCTTCCTGAAACTGTATGCAGTCTTTCTGAAGCCTCAAAAAGCCTTCCCAAGGCTTTGGGAAGAAGGCTTCACTGGCCTATAGCCATCTTATGAAAGGTTGGGGTGGGCATGCCTTGCCAACAGCATCAGTAGGAAAAGACCAGTGAAGGTCAGTTGAGGACAGCGAAATGCAGGTGGCAGGGGCCATCGGGGTACAGGGTGACTAAAAGAGCAAAGATGGTAGGAGATAGGCAGGTGGAGTTAAAGGGCAATTACTCGAATTTTGCTAAACTGTCTATGAGGGCATTGCAATGGCTACAAATATCATTTGTTCAGCATCATTGAAACTTTGAACGGTCCCTGAATGAGTGGTCATTAAGTGAGGATTACCTGTAGTTTATTGCACAGGTAAAAAAAACACCCTGGTGTTTTTTTGAGCCCCAGTTATAATAAATGAATGATTCTTACCCACCATAAAGCCTGAATCTTATTGGAAGCATAAGCACTGCACAAACAGGTAAACTTTAGATAGCTAGTAGTATATTTAAATTTGCTTCTTTCTAAATAAAAAGCTGTCCTGCATAATTTGTACTTCCATTCCAATCGCAAAGAGAGAAATAGACAACACATTGACATTCTGAATACTTTTAGCACTACTGTCTGTGCTTCTACTTTTCCTAAAAGTACAATCTGAGTATTTGGAATATAATGAAAGTCAAGTATAATTCAAGAAAATTTGTGGAATTCAGCTCATTTACTTTTATCTCTCTCCCATTCTTCTCCCCCAGAAAATCTAGCTTCAAGGTGTTACATGCCTCTCTATTCCAGATTACGTATAACATATTGTTCAAATATTAATTTGATTATATTATTGAAGCATCACTAATACTTAAAATATAGTCAAGTTGTAATTTGTAATTTTTCAGCGAACATTGTTTTGAAAAAAGCTCTATAACTGAAAATGTATAATTAAAGTTAATTAAACCAATATTGATTAGCAATATTGTTTAACAGAAACAGGCAACTAGGAATTTTAATGTATAGGTAATCCTCGACATGACCATAATAGAAATTATCCATTATGGTTAGAGATGTTTTTTGTATATATTATATTTTGTTTAAGATAGTTAAAATGAGGGGGGGGGGGGGTCAAAAAAAAGATAAAGTGCTTGAAGCCCTTGGGCTTGTTTCCATCCCAACAGAACCTATACCCTCCTCATCCATTGTGCATTTATTTTTCAAACTCTGGAGTTAGGATTAGGAAATGACAGGGGTCCTCGTTCCTGGACTATATATTGAAAGTGGATGCTGTTTTCTGAGTAGCCACAATTCAATAGGTTACATCCTCAAAATGGTGGCCAGTTATGGGATTGTAGCTATAACTGACCATGAGGTCCAGGAACAGAGTGACCTATCCTCCTTCCCTAATCAAACATCTTTTAAAGGTGAGGTTGTTGGGCCCTGTGGGTAGAAAGCGGGCCCAAGGCATGTGGAGCCTAGGTGCAGGGGAGATAGGCAGAAGTGTTGGTGCAGTGTCCCTATGATTGGTCATAAGAACAAATGACTGTGTAGGTCTTGCAGCAGGTGCAACTTTGAAACAGAAGTTTTAATAACTTTGGGGAAGGGTCCACCATAATTTCAAATAATCACTAAGCAACAAGTCATAAGTCGATGACTACCTGTTTATATTTCAGATATCACTATGGTAGTAACTTAATTAAAGAGGCTTGAATTAAGTAGAAAGCTTTTTTGTACTGCAACATGAATTTATTTTAAACTTTTGTAAAAAACATACCTAAGGAATACAGGAACAAAAACAGATGGGTTTCTGATTTTAACCAGCTATTTAAGTTCTTTATTACAATTTACAATTCTGTGAGTTATGCTCGATATAAAAATTAAAATGCAGTATATCATTGAGCACTTAGCATATTGTGAAAACCAATCTACAGACTGTGATCCAGATGACATTCTTTAAAAAGTTCTGTTTATTCTTCAGATTCTTGAGCCTTTTCACTAACAATGGTTTCTGAAGTAGTTTCCTCTTCAAGAAAGTTACAAACTGCTGGAGATGACACAGTCATTTTTATGCTGGGAATCATTTCACGTTGGTCTCCAGTACTTTTTGTTTCCATGTCTTTATGAGTTTCAGGTTCAGATAACTGTTCTTCACTTGTTAAAATAGATTCTGCAGTTTGTGCTGCTTCTAAAGTGAAAACAACCATGTGTCAAGTAAAAACATAGAACCATGTACATTTTGGTAAGTAATATAGAAAACTGACACCCTCTTGCTTGAATTCCAACTAATACAGGAAACTACTTTTTCTGTTAATTTGAAAATAAATTAAAAGTAGAAACTTAACCAAAATGTGACACTATATGTGTAAATATTTTTAATAGTAAAAGTATCATTTCTGCACAAAATATCTAGCTTGTTCAGTCTAAGGAGCTTGTTTAAGGGAACCCCATATATGCCCTCCAAGGTTGTTTCATTTTTTTTTCTAATGTGAATAGACTAACTAGCTTGGTCAGACTGAAGAAGCTACCTGATTAGTAGCAAAACATTTCAAACAAACAAAAAAGTCCTGTTGTCATGACTCAATTTCTCAACATTTTGATGGAAAAGGATCCACAAGAGAAAAAGGTTTTCCTGCTATCTGGGTGAGCATCACTAATCCAATATGGGTACCGAAAGGGGGAAGTGCTAAGAGATAGGGTGTCAACAAGGTTCCTTTTGCCTGAGTTGCCTGTGTGGAGAGCTGAGACAGTTCCCTTGTTCTCTGTTCCTGTTTGTTTTACCATATATGTGACTGGGTGTCTATCGTGGAAAGATCCATGATATCTCTTGTGTATCTACCACCCATTGTTCTTTGACTTGAAGCAACCCAAAGGAAAGCCTTCTTGGCTCCATTTGACATTCTGAGCTGTGCACTATGAAGTCTCTGCCCTGGAGTGCTTGCAAAGAAAAGGTGTCCATAGGCAGTTTGACTTGCTGGCTTAGATCACATCAACTTGGGACTTCAGCTGGCTTTTTCTGTTTTATTGGGGAAGGATCTGTGGGGGGAAATTAATTGGTCGTGGCAAAAAAAATGGTGCCTTGTGATGGCAGCTGCTTTGTTGTGAAGAAAAGTTTGATCAAAAGAAGAGGTCAGGACTTGGTGAGCAGACATGGAGCTGCTTCTCTGCCTGATTTGGCAGAACATGGGAAACGGCCAACAATCCCACAACAGAGCACTGGGTTGCAAGGAAGCTTGGACAGCTGGCACAGGAAGGGGATCCCTGGCTGGAAGGCATTGCCTTACTTTTGTATCATCTCTCTAGAGAGTTTTCTGCTCTGTGAAATGGAGAGAAAAGAAGAAAACAGATTTTGGCAATGTTTCCTGTACCTGATATACCCCAATCACAAGAGAGGAAAAACTGGAGAACTTGGATATAACTTGATTACAAGGGAGTAAAAAGTCACACAGTCTGTTCATCATGCACCATTGCAATGCCAATGCTAGGGCGTTGCTTCAGATGTTTATCCTCCACTGTGTGTCTGCTTAGTCTCTTCTTGTAATCCCTTTAGCAAAAACATGAATCCTAGTCATATGATCGTGGGATACAGCAAATGGCCAAAAATGCAGGCTGGTTGTCAAGCACCCAAAATCTAATCATGTGAACATTGGGGGGGGGGGGAAGGAGAGATATCAGGTCATAAGAATCTTTTGGTCTGCTATAATTTTGATCCATAATTTTGAATTGTATCTTAGTTATAAGTTTATTTTTCCAGTACTATTGAAACTGCATGGACACTAAACAAATTTGTTGTAACCTGAAGACTATTTGTACCAACAAATATTTACACTTGCCAAAAATCAAATTTTCAGGTGAAAATTAAATGCCAAGAAAAAGATTTTAAAATTGAGAAAGATTAGGTCTATCTGAAAACATTTCATCAAAAAATTGCTATCACATAACCACAGTATAAAATGCTGTCTCAGAATAATCTGTTTGAATATAGCAGGGAAATGGATGAATTTTGACAAAGATAAAATATAATAGTAGTTCACTAGTGCAAAGATTGTCATGTCCTGTTATTTTGAAACATAACCAGCATCTGAAAGTAGTTACTAATTTGTTTTGGGATATTTCCCATTATAAAGGACATATTCCTAAATCCTCTTGAAATAACAAGGCATCTCAACCTTTATTTTTTTCTTTAGCTGCTTCTACCGTCTGCTTCTCATAAATCTTCTTTAGCATGCTGCATGATTTCTTGTGTGTAAACCAGTGCATTTTCTGGCAAGCCTGATCACAGTAAATAACCTGAAAATCAATAAAAATATATTAGCATTTTGATTTGATGTGTGTGTGTGTGGGATGTGAAAATGGGCCCGTTTTTCACAAAAATGGGGCATGCAGAAGGTTTTAGAGACCCTGCAGAGTGCTCTTGGGAAGTTTGGGAAGCCAAAAGGGACCCGTTTTTCAAAAAAACAGGATGTGCAAATGGTTTGGGAGGCCTACAGAGTGCTCCAGGGGGCTGGGGACAGCAAAAATGGCACTCCTGTGGGGTTTGGTAGACCAAAAATGGGATACACAGAGGGTTTGGGAGGCCTGTGCTCCTGAGGGCTGGGAAGGGCAAAAATGCCATTTTTGCGAAAAATGGGCCCATTTTTTGCTTCCCCCCCCCACGCATCACGTTTTTGCCCTCCCGAACCCCTAAGAGCACACTGCAGGCCTTCCAAACCCTCTATGCACCCCATTTTTGCAAAAAACAAACCTGCTTTTGGCAAAAACGGGATGCATAGAGTGGGGTTTCTCAAGGCCAAAAATGGCTGTATTCGATGTATAAGATGCACCAGTTTTCACTTCTTTCAGATTCCAGATTCTAAGAAGAGAATCTTATACTCAAAAAAGTACAGTACCTAAGTTCCAGAAGTATGCTTTTACAATAACACAAAAATGGAACTGAGATTTGCCTTTTGTTTGCACACACACTTGGAAATTCTAATATTGAGAAGATGTTTTGTTGTTTTCATTTTAAAAGTTAAAAATTAGTTTTGAAGATTGAGATACAGTACCATAAATGTATACAAATAGTTGTCACTCAGTTGTAATTAATTTTATTTGGTAAATAATTACAAAGGATGGGAAAATAAAAAAGAATGAACATACACGTGATGGTAGGAAGATAATGGGAAAAACCTTAGCTGAAAGAAGCAAAAATAATAATTTGTGAGAATAGGTTTTTGTCCACTGATATATGGAAGTGGGAACTGGATATGTCAAGAAAAACAAAAGCTGAATGCAATGTGGAAGATTATAAAGTGTGTGTGATAAATGAAAGAGGGCAAGAATGACCTGATGAGCTACCAGTATGAAATGTGTTAACATTGCCCACAGATTGAATGATGCCTGAATTATAAAACATACATTAAGGAGAAGTAAACAGGTCAAGAAGAAAACTAAGTAATACAGTTGTGAAAATCTTGAAGAGAAATAGAAAGTGTGAAGGAAAAGTAGTATGAATTAGTGTATAGATATGGCAGAAACATGAATTGCTTCTAAGGATCACAAAGTACGGAGTGGTGAGCTCTTTTTATCATGTGATGTATGCTGTACATTTGTGATAGGCATGATGCTTAACCTAAGGGGGAATGGTGTGCCAGTTATTTATATACCGTAAGAAATGGAGGATAAGTTTATTAGTTTATCTGAATCCTCTTACCATTTTGCACGTGGAACATCTTTTGTTTGCTCCTTTTTCCCCACACGTTGTACAAAATTCAGCATCTATAAAGCCTATTTGGCCAGTAATAGCTTGTGTAAGTACAGAAAATGCTGTGGGATCAGAACCCTGGAAAGGCAAAGGGAGTGAAATAGCAGTTTTTCTTAACAACAATCTCAAGTCCAAGTCCAAAGGGCTCTATGCTCTAATTTTTTTTAATATAAATTTTATTTTGTTTCTACAAACTTCACATCTTTGCAACACATTACATTTTTACCTATCTGTTGTGTCTGTTTTATCTATAAATCTTTTTTAACTATGACTTCATATATTTGTACATTTACATTTTTTCATACATTTTTTTCATTCTCTATAATATTCTATATGTTCTATGTATAGCAGTTTTTATTACATTTATATCATTTTGTAAAGTATATATTAAATCTTTTATAACTATGACTATATATTTGTGCATTTACATTATTTCATACATTTTTTTCATTCTATATGTAATATTCTATATATTTTATGTGTAGCAGTTTTTATTACATTTACATCATTTTGTGTAATATTTATTTGCTATAGTCTATCTCATATTTCAATCTTTTCATCCTTTTCCGATTTTGTAGTTGTCTATTGTTTTGTTGATTCCTTTCTTTTTTGCTTTTCTCCTTCTTTCCTCTAGCCAGTTGTACAATAAATCCCATACAGAGTAATATTCGGATTCGTTTTTCTCTTTTAAGTTCTTTCGTGAGCTTATCCATCTCTGCACATTCCAATATTTTTTTAATTACATTTTCTTCTGTTGGTATATAATTATTTTTCCAGT